GGCAACAGAGAGACAGTTGTCATGGAGATCGCAACACCATCCTTGCTGCCCGAAATATTTCAATGTGGCAATCAATCTCATAATAGTTTTCCTGTCCTCTGATATAGTTCCACTATTCCAGCCTCTACATACAAAGTGACTTTACTTTCCAGTTGACTAGCCTTCCTGATGAGCCCCCGTTGCCTGCTGAGTAAACCCCAAGGTCCATAATAGTCCTTTACGAGGTGGTACTACGTTCTATCTTCTGCTTTATCTTCGCTCTTCTCCTCTTTACTCCAGCCTCACGTAATGAATTTTCATAGCTTTGCACTTTCTCTTCTCCTTTCCTGGAATTCTCTTCCTGTCTCCTACACAGAACTAACTCCTACTCACTTTTCAATATGCAGCTCACAAGCCTGTCAGATATCTAAGGAATTATTGTGTAATTTATCCACTTAATATAGTAATCTTTTCTATCATTTCAGATCACCCTATCCAAAATATTTCCTCGTGGAGGTGACTTCATGGCTGACACACGCAATGTGACAGAATTTATTTTCCTGGGACTTTCTCCCAATCGGGACGTGCAGAAAGTTTGCTTTGTGATATTTCTGCCCTTGTACACAGCAGTTGTGCTGGGCAATTTGCTCATTGTCCTCACTGTCATGACCAGCAGAAGCCTCGGCTCCCCCATGTACTTCTTCCTCAGCCACCTGTCCTTTGTGGAGATCTGCTACTGCTCTACCACAGCCCCCAAGCTCATCTCAGATTTGCTGGCTGAAAGGAAAGCCATATCTTTCTGGGGCTGCATGACACAGCTTTCCTTTGTCCACTTGTTTGGTGGCACTGAGATTTTCCTGCTCACTGTGATGGCCTATGACCGCTACGCGGCCATCTGCAAGCCCCTGCACTACACCGCCATCATGAACCGGCAGGTGTGTGCTGTCCTGGCGGGAGTAGCGTGGGCGGGGGGCGTTGTGCATTCCTTGGCCCAAGTCCTTCTCATCTTCCGCTTGCCCTTCTGTGGCCCCAATGTGATTGATCACTATTTCTGTGACCTGCTTCCTCTACTCAAACTTGCCTGTTCTGACACCTTCTTCATTGGTCTGCTGATTGTTGCCAATGGCGGGACCCTGTCTGTGATCAGCTTCATTGTTCTTGTAGCCTCGTATGTGGTCATTTTGCTCCATCTGAGGAACCGAAGCTCTGAGGGACGGTGCAAGGCCCTCTCCACCTGTGGGTCCCATATCGCTGTGGTCACCTTGTTCTTTGGGCCCTGCATCTTCATCTATCTGAGGACCTCTACCACTCTGCCTGCGGACAGGATGGTGGCTGTGTTTTATACAGTGATCACCCCACTCCTCAACCCTGTCATCTACTCCTTCAGAAATGGTGAAGTGAAGAAGGCCATGAGGAGGCTGTGGATCAGGACAATGAAACTAGATGAGAAATAAAATCTGTGTTTTGATACTGATCCTTAGTTGGAGAATGATGCTATGTCCCAAGTGAAGGAATAGAGTGGGAGGGAGGATAGTCTCCTGGATGTATTAGTTGTAGAATTATTTTGTTTTGTTTCTAAGTTCATTGTAATCATGTCAATTATTTTCTTTTAATATTACTTAACCAGCCATTTTCTTTTTAGATATTTAGATTATTTAAATTTTTTACTACTATAATAAAAATGTGCTAAGTTTCTTGGATAGACATCTTTAACTACACTCTGATTTTTAAAGACTGCTCCATAGCTCCTTTTGCTGCAGTGCTCTTTCCACTGCCAATGAAGGTGCAAACACTTGGAGGATGTGCGCACTTGGGGAAATCAGAGCTGGCATGGACCCGGGCTCTGCTTCTGACTAGGGCAGAGACTGCCATTGCCAGTACTTGCTTTGGTGCACACACTTGTGGGGGAGCCAGACCATCTCCAGGGTGGAGACTGCCACTGCTAGAGCACCCAGCCCTGTGCACACTCTCAGAAGGGCTGAGGCTAGCTCTAGGGTGGATACCTCCATCAGTGGACAGTGTGTCCTTATGCACATGTGAGGGAGCAGGGCCAGCTCAGTTTTGTGGCATCAACCCTTTCAACTCCAACCCAGGCTATTACCAAGGTATGCACACTGAGTGAAAAAGCGACCCCAGCCAGAAGTGCAGCACCAAGCCCTCACACCTCAGCCATTTCCCAAATGAAGGTGGAGACTATCATCACACCTGCGAGAAACCCAACTCCCTCGGGGCTCCTGCTCCAGATCCTCAGGCAAGACCTCACCCCTGACAGAGCAGCGAGGGCCACTGGACATAAGAGAAGCTCTCCCAGCATGCCACAGGGCACACATAAATTGCATAGGGCTGTGTCTACAAAATAA